TAGTACAGTAAATGCAACATTTTTTATTGTGGATTGCATCTTTAAATACAGAAGTATCGCAAAATTTATTTAAATTAAAGCAAGTTTGATAGTTTTTTATAGTGCGGAGCAACAAAATTTATGATTCTGATGGTTGATAAGAAACATTTAATGTAACATTCACTTTGCATTTATTACAACTATTTTCTCCATTGGCCGTTCAGCGGTGAGATGTCTTCGGCTTGAGTTTTAATAAAATGTGCAGATTTGACTGATTACTGTTAGGATGACAGTACTGGAGAGGAGTGGTTTTAAAAGAATGCTGCAACTGTGACCATCGTTCAGTGGGGTAGCAAAGTGGTCGTTTCCCATTTGAATGATTTAATCTCGTAACGTTTTGGCTGGCAAATTGCCAACACAGTGACGTGTTAACAGATTGTTGAATCGATTCTGTGTTGGTGACAACGAAGTCATCGACGACAATGATGGTGACGGAGATGATGTTGCCTTTGATGGCTTAGCAGAACAGAGGGACAGATGTAATATCTCAAAAAATTTTTTAGTATTCGGTAATATACCATGGTCTCATGGTCTTTTTTCTTCTGACTGGTCTGGTTTTGGTTGGGTGACAGACTGTGATCGTTACTAGTGAACCTGATGACAAAGACGGCGATGGCTTCATATTCGTCTTTCTGTTGTTATTAAAACTTTCATTTTTGCTTGTACAGTTTGTTTGTTTAGCTTACAATTGCAAAAGTTCATGAATAAATTTACAATAAAAATTCTTTAATTTGCTAGTTATGACTTTCTCTGTTGTATTTCTTTTCGTATTGTCAGCGGAAAACGAGAATGCTAAATGTGAGAAAAAGCGCTCATGGTAGTAAGAACCTTGAATTTAATTGCCATTTTATTCTTGTAAACCTTTTGAAAATGCAACATTTTTTTTTTTTTTTTTTGGCAAAGGTGGAACCAGCTACAGTTGAAAGACATATTATGAGCTGGAAGAAGGATAGTTTCCAGCTGTTTTTTCCGTACTGTAATTGTTTTTGTTTCGTTTGATGCCACATGCTTTCGTAATATGTTGGCAAGATCTGGTAGGAAGCATTGGTATTGCTGCATGCCTAATGTTTCTTTCGAAGTTTCTTCGTTTCTTAGCAAAAAAAGCCACTAGTTGTTTAAAACAAAGGAAAAGGTGGAAAAAAAAGGTTTCGGTTTTTGTCAGATTTATGTGTGTTGTAAACAGTCTGTGTTTACTCTAGTTTCTTTTTCATTATGATTTTTAAGTTTTATGCGCAAAGCAAACGGAACC